TGTGTGTGTGTGTGTGTGTGTGTGTGTGTGTGTGTGTGTAGTGTGTGTGCAGTGTTTACACATATGTATACGTGTGTCTGTGTCTGTGCCTGTGCCTGTGCCTGTGTATGTGCTTGTGTTTATGCGGGGTGAGTGTTATGTACATCTGATGTACATACGTCTTGACACTCATATATTCTCTCCCAATCTCACAAACTACACGCTCAGCGTTTCCGTAAGCGCTTATTCAGTACCATATATGTGAACAGTTATCATACCCGACCGGTTCTGCACTATCGGCGCGTTCACTCCGTTTGCCATCACCTGTACTCGCACCAACACGCTTTCCCTTGACTCTTATCTTTGCAATCAGAGGTGCATCTTCATCACTGCTACTCTCACCACCACTCTGTCGATTGCCGTCGTCATCAGCGCCATTGCCGATAAGGTCATCGCTATGCGCCACAGCCTGTTCTTCCTTGATCTTATTCTTGTTGGCAGGCTTAGACCTGCTATGCTTCTGTGTTGTTTGTGTTGTTGCATCAGTCGCAATGGCCCGGCTCTTCTTCAATGGACGTTTCCGCTCGCCTGAGCTACCCACACCATTCGGTCTTAACGCAATACCCTCACGCTTCACTGTGTGCGTCTGCACTTTTACATCAGCATCGGCCGATACCTTCCCACTGTCTCTCTCGGTGCTCTGCTCTCTCGTCTCCTCGTCGCCACTAACCTCCGCTCTGTCAGATTGCACATCAACTTCATCGCCTCTGTGTGAGTTGTTCCCGTCTCTGCTTTTCTCGTCACTGTCTCCGTCCGAATCGTCTGAGGGGTCGGATGCGATGCTGTGGTCGTTGTCTGAGTCACCGCTAAGCTCGATGGAGCTGCTGCTTCCGCTCTGGTTGTTGTCGTCAGTGAAGACATCTGCTTTCTCTAGACCGTCCATGCTGTGTTAGTGTGGATGTGTGGATAACTCGAACCTAAGTCAGACTAGAGCATAGACTAATAATATGTATCTCAGTATACAAGTACGTATGTAGGCACGCGTATGTGAGCGCACACACTAGTCTCGAATGCGTGCGTATAGGACAGTCTGTACGTAGTATTACCACGGATGTTGGGGTTGGAGACTCTTATCCGCCATGATATTACGTGTGACCAACACAGCAGATACAATAAATAAGCACCACCCAAATTACAGCACACACCCTCACAGTCACACAGTCCCACGAAAGTTCAGCCAGGACTACTAGACACTAGGAGTACACCATCACACACACACAACAGTACTGAGTACAGCCCCCCCATAGCCACTCATCCGTCATCAGTCGACGGCCAAGCGACTCCATTTGCACACACAGTGACTCAGAGGTACTCATAGCTCAGTGCGATGGGACCTCAGAGGCTCAGACTCACAGCCACAGCCACAGTCACAGTCACAGTCACAGCCACAGTCACAGTCACAGTCACAGTCACAGTCACAGTCACAGTCACAGTCACAGTCACAGTCACAGTCACAGTCACAGTCACAGTTACAGTCCCAGTCACAGACACTAGTAGAGGACTAGAGTCTCAGACTCCCTCAGAGTCTCAGATGCAGAACTGCGGCGAAGGGAGACGGTCGAGAAAGCCTCACGCAGGAGAGTGTCTAAGACTCTTAGTGGGTGGGGGTCACAGACTGAGACAGCCTGACAAGTGACAGCCTGACAGGTCAAAGTGACAGGCGTGAAAGATTGAAAGGCCTCGGGAATCAGATTCAGCACCCGGCAAATGATACTTTGAGCGAAGCTGACGGTATGTGACTGGTTTATATAAAAATATATCTTGGTTTTTATTCTGACGTCTCTCATATTTGGTAAAAAATCATAGCCGAAGGGGAGGCTATGAATACATACATAAATAGATCTGTCACCAAGTACATTACCTAAAGACAAGCCCCACTGTCGATGTTGCGATATGTAGAGGCAGTGGTGCTCAATATAACGCGGATGGGAATGTACTGGTAGCAGTTGCATTGTAAGAGCGCAAGGTTTATCGTAAACTAATAGACTACTAAATGGTCAATCATTTAAACCATAAATTGTTAGGCTGATAAAGGGTCTTGTAGCCGCATATACTGGAGACTGGAGGCTGTTTGATGTTTAGAATTAAAGCCAAGAGTCTCTGTGCTTTCAAAGCGATGTACTTGTGTTCGAATATTACTACCCGCATCAAGCCGCTCGATGTATTTCGTGGGTGGGGTTTGAATATCCTACTAGTTGAGCACGGTAAACCATGCAGCTGCATTGCTTGCAAGGACTCGCGTAGCTCTCACGCCATACAACCTAAGTAGACAGTATGTATTAACACCAGACAGACAATGTATGGATTAGTATGTCTTGATACCATATAGTATTTAAATGTGATCATAGTTATTGTAAATAAATAGAATGGCATAGACGATGTTAGAATCATTTACGTAGTCTCAGCATACATACACGGCGTGTACACGTGCACGAACCGGAGAAGAGCTGGTTGAGTCACAATGTATGACCCTACTAAGCAGCGCCTGGAAGAATGGTGTAAACCCGTAGGATGGCTGATTGCTGTTCTGCAATCGAAAATCCGAACCGGTATATCTACAGACTATATATATATATATATGTGTGTGTGTGTGTGTGTGTGTGTATGTGTATATATATATATATATATGTGTGTGTGTGTGTGTGTGTGTGTGT